CTCTGCTTGTCTCCTTCTCTCCCTTTCTTCTTTCCTTCTTTCCTTCCTTCCTGTTTTCCTTTCATCCATCTATCTGTCTTTTCCTGGATTCTGTTCTGTTTTATTTGTCTATTCATCTACTAATAGTATACTGTTTTATTTATCATGACTTTAAAGTATATGTTGCTATTTCTTAGGCCAAATACTTTTTTCATTCTCTAAATTACCTCACTTAATCATTCAAATGGTCTATTCCATGTACACTTCAGAATCAACAAATTCAGTTCCCTAAAAAAACTATTTTGATCAGGGTTGAATTGAAATTTTAGATCAATTTGGATGGACTTGACATCATTATAATACTGAGTTTTCCCATTTAGAAATATGATGTGCCTCTCCATTAATTTAGTTCTTCTTTTATATCAAAAGTAAACCCTAAGACAAGGATGTGATGGAAGTAGTTTATTTGAGAGGTGATCTCTGGAGACATGTTGAGAGATGAGGTGAGACAGAAGGCTGATAGAAGATGTGCTAGTGAGTGACACTGCTGTGGGAAATTGAGACTCAGCCCTTCCCAGATGCTGAGTTGAACGAAGCTCAGGGCTGTCTCGAGGAAGAAAGAGGGAAGGAAATCCGGGCTATTCATTCACCAGCTCCTATCCTTAATCATTCGAGGGTCATTCTTGGGTGTTAAGTCTCCAGGATTTCTGGCCTGACTCCTGCGGGACTGATACTGTCCTCAGGTAGAGAGAGACCGTTAGGCAAATAGGAACTGCTGCAGGTGATTGAAGATTATAAGGGGATTTAGGTGAGACACCGACAGCATCTGCCACAGTCACAAAGTAACATTGTGTGATTTTCTTCACATGGGCCTTATAGTTTTTCTGTTGGGTTAATCCCTAAGAATTGTTGCTATTGTGAACGAGGTCCCTTTTCAGTTACATTATTTCAGTAGTGATTGCTGATGTAGAGAGATATTATAAGTCTTTAAGAATGTATGCTCTAAAGAAGACTTCCTGGCTTTGTGCACTGGGTCTGCCATTTCCTAGCTTTCAACTTCTTCAAATTACCTGCCTGGGCTTGAATCATAGGTTCTGCAAAATGGGAATAATAATAGAATCAACTTTGTAGGGTTATAATGATAATTAAATGGGTTACTATAGGTTAAGCAATTAAGTTCTTAATAGTATTAGTTATTGCAGTTATTATTAATATTATTAGTGACAGTAGAAAATAGAAAGCTCTTGATTTTTTTTTTTTTTTCAGCATTT